CTTCTGCCTCTCTATAATTTTAGTTTTCTGCTAGAATCAATATTGTCAACCATCACAGCTGAAAACATTTTTCTCTTCTTTGACATGACTTTTATGTATAACCCTTCTACTATTATTTACTCTTGCACAATTTCAAAGAAGAGAAAATGATCATGTTTAAAGGTATCCTTTAATCAGAAGGATTGGTCTAGAGTTTTCATTCATTTAAATAATTTAAAAAAAACGGATCTAAGTGATCTTGACATTTTCCAATATATAGTCCCAATTTTATTACAAAGATTGTATGTAGAAAGAGGTGGTGATTCCTATATCTTCACCAATGAATCATTTTCCCTTTGACAACGTCTTTGTGGTGCCGCTTTCTTAATGATACAGCATTTGTCTAAAGACTTTTTCTGTGGAAATAATTGAAGATGTTGGTTGGGTGGCTAAACAGGGCTGTGTTTGTGTGTGGTCTATGGCAATTGCAATAGATTGTTGAATCTGGGATCTATAAAAGTAGCTCAACTTTGGGTTGAGTCAAAGGTAAAAATGCCTCATGCCTTCTATCTAATTGCTATAAAAATATAAAATATTTTTGCACAATATGTTAACCTGATGACTTCAGAATGTTTTGTGAGAATGTTTATTTTATGGATGTTTGAATATATATATATATATATATATATATATATATATATATATATTGTGTGCACTTTATCCCCCAGCTCCTCATGCGGGGACATGAGAGAAGCCTCCCACAAGGATGATAAAAACATGAAATCATCTGGGCGTCCCCTGGGCAATGTCCTTGCAGACGGCCAATTCTCTCACAACAGGAGCAACTCCTGACATGACAAAAAAAATCCCCCTAAAACAGAATTAAAATCTTGCAAATGTGTGGATTTTGCCCATCTGTTTTGAATGTTAGGAGATGCCACATCAATATTATTTAGGAAACTGCAAATCCAAGTAAATAGTGTTTTCTCTTTAGTCCAAGCTACACAATGTTAACAATGCAAAACATTCAGCAGAATTATACTATGAGGACTTATTTGGTCCCCCAGAGGATGCTTACTTCAACCATCCAGAATCTGACTGACAAGCTTCACCCTGAGGAGCTCTTCATTGGCCGCCCCATGACTATGGAATAACCTGCTGGAAGAAATCCAACAGCTAACAATCTGTCAGAATAGGAAATGCAATTAAAGACCCATCTCTTCCGGTAGGCCTATCCACTCAACTTTCATCATGAGTTTTGATTTACATTCTATTGCTACTGTATGCCAATTCTGTATCTGTGTTTGGTGCAAGTTTTTTTATATGTTTGTGTTTTTATCTATGTCATTTATTGTATATATTATATGTTAATATATTTTTGAATTTATTGTAATCCACCTCAAACTATCAGTAGAGGTGAGTAATATATAAAATGTATTGCTGTTGTTGTTAAACTTTTGTAGATAGGACATCATTTCTCAGATTCAAGAAGCAGAGGAATAATGATGGGAATATATACAAAGATGGCGGCAGGGGGGGGGAGTAACCCAATTTTTCACAACTGTCTTTCAAGCTATGTAGACATTTGAGGATTACATATACCAATAAATTTGAATAGCATGCTATAAATGTGATCATCATTGGCAACATGCCTCCCTCTCTCCCCACTTATACACAGCATGAATGAGGGGGTTTCAAACCACTTTGTCCTCCAAAAGTTGAAAGGCTGATATATAATAATAGATTTTTTAGATTAGACAGTCTCTTTACACATATAAGAACAGTCACATCTTATTTTTAGAAGCAATCTAGATCAGATACCAATAGTTAAATGCCACTTAGTTTTTTATGTCAATTACTACAAATCTAGTGCATAGCTTTACATTATGAAATTTGCTCTTCAGCTCAAGAATTGCAATTTATATAAACTGAGCCTTGAATTGTACTCCTTCCTAATCTATTTCTCCTGCTGGACCTAACCATCTCTTCCTTGTTCTTATGTTTATTTTCTTTTAATATTTCCTTTTTCCTGTTGTTTCTGCTTGGAAGCAGCCACATAAATTATAAACTTGAATGACATCTTTCTTTCCTTAGGTATCTCAGAACAATGGGGTCCCTTGGGATAAAATCTTTCAAAAAGTTTCAAGTTGCTAGAATTTGGAAGCAAAAGGACAAAGTAAAGCCAGTGTTTCACTTCATCTGCAAATTTCTGCAGAGCAGTAAACTTCTAGCACTTCCCACTCTATTATTATTCTTAGCTATTAGAGTAGGATTGTTAAAGTAAATCCAGATTTCTGTTTCAATCTGCTAGCTCTCTCCCTAAAAGGTTCACACTGATACTAAAGAGAGTTGACAAGGGGAGGTGTTAGAAGATGAATTTGTCTTTTAACATTTGCAAACTTGCACACAAGCTGTAAACACTTTTTAGCATCTGGTTTAAGGCACCAGCATACGGTATATCTAGTAAGGAAAGAAATACAATAAAGAGCATTCACAGAAAAACCTGGCATGTATATAATGTTACATTTATTTAATTTGCATTTGTTTGCTAGAACACGTTCAGTGTGGAGAAAAGACCTCCCATTGGAACTTACCCACCCTGCGTAATATAACCAACTCCTTTGTAAGCTAAATCATATGAAAAATATGTACATTACCAAAGCAGTCAGAAGTAGATTTTCTTACTCTCTTCCACAACTTTAGTGCCTTTCCCATAAATGTTTTACAGAGATATGTAGAAATCAATGATGCTACCAAAGTTTTTTGTTACCTGGTTCTAAATATAATGTTCAGATAGAGTTACATCACCCTGAGAGGTTTTGCCCAGGTTTGGAATACAAAACAGGATTCTGCGTATGCATGGCCAACGAGTTGATATATATTATTAGTTGAGGTCCTGGATTCTACTCACATTTCAAATAGGCTTTGATACACAATAGCTCACCCCAACTCAGGCTGGAACCAGTCAGGCCTTTATCCCAGAAGCATCCGCGTTTTTTTTAACGTGAATGTTTCTGGGGACCTGTCCATACCCGCCCCAGAAAGTGCTTGCTTCCTGGGGTTGGTGTCTGGARGTTCCCTCAGGACTAGCCTGAGGGAACATCCAGAGGCCCTACCCCCTAGCCCCAAACCTCCAGACCCCTTAGAAAAGTAAAAAAGAACTTACCCATCATTAGAAGCCTCGGCTGGCTCTCCRGGTGCGTAGAAATGACGTGCCCAGACAGCAGGGGGTGGGAGCGATTTTTCTCCCCCCCCCCCCGCTCTTCTGGTGCATCATTTCTATGCACCACGAGAGCCAGCTCTAATGGAGGATGGGTAAGTTTTTTTATTAGTTTTCTAAGGCGTCTGGGGGCTTGGGGGAGGGGGTGGGTATTCCCACAGTTCACCGGGCTTATTTATCCCGGTAAACTGTGGGAATGGTGTCTGGACTGTAGTACAGACACCAGAAATAATGCATTTATCCCACGCCTTCCAAGTTAATTTGCTACAAATTAATTCGCTACAAACTAGGGTTTTCCCGAATTATTCGGGACTGTCCAGAACATTGTCTGGACAGACCCTCCTTTATTGTGGAAGTTCCCGCAATAAAGATGCTAAGATAGGGTGTTTAAGGTTTTTGAGATATTGACATAGAATGCAACACAGGGAACACTGAATACTTGAGACTAAAGAAGCTAAACAATTCCTGACTCTGGACTTGTCTGCACTACTCACAATGGTTTGTCACCATGGTTTGTCTCTATGATACACAGAGATCTCAAGTGAATATCCCAGGTTTTCCAGCTTTCATTCAGTTTTGGCCCACTTTATGTAAAGTTCAGAAATATACCACAATTTGCAGGAAACTCCAGAGAATCCTGGAGTTTAGAAGTAGTCTGGAAGACTTGATTGGATTTGTTTTGTACCAATCTCCTGTTCAGATGGACAGTGCTAACATCGCCCTTGCTCTGCACTGACCAATGCAAGGGAAATTGAGATATGTTTTAATATGTGTATTTTACAGAGTGTTTTAAAATCATAGTGTGTTTGTTTATGTTTTAATAATGCTGTAATCAATCTTGAGCCATAAGGAGAGGTGGGCAAGAAATAAAATTATTATTATTATTATTATTATTATTATTATTATTATTATTATTATTATTATTCCTGTGTCACTAATACTACTTCCCACATCCAAAGAGCTCAAAGACCTCCTCCTTCTTGCAGGTCATTCAAGGTCCCCAATCTGACATCAGTACATTCAATTGCAATGACCAGGTGCTTGCACAGAACTCCATGGCTGGTGGGGAGTAGTAGTAGTGGCAACACAGATTAAAAGAGACTCGTCTACATCTGAAAGTGGGTGTGCCAGCTCTGTGGCTGATCCAGATTAACACAGCCTTTAACCTTGGTAACCAAGTCCTAGGTTGCTCCAAAGTCTTCCTGAGAATCAAGAGCAAACCATGACTTTGGAACCATGTAATTAGTAACTGTTTACAATGTCATCCTATATTCCCTAGTCTCAGGTGGTATTCACTGTCCCTCTCCCATTCTTGTTGTAGTGGTGGCAGGAACAACATGGCTTGTGTATGTTGCTTGTCACCTGAGTGATGTTGACCATAGTGCCAGAGCAATCTTTTGCTCCCCAGCCAACCTCACTCCATGTAACGAACAATAGATACTGGCCATGTTGCACCCACTGGGTGCAATTATGATGAAAATGGGAGAGGGCAGTAAGGATTTTGGCACTGCTGGATGGTCAGGATCCTTTTCCACCTCCACAGTGTTCCAGGGCCTGGCAGTAAAAAGCATCATGGAGCCAATTCAAAATTCAACACACCAGATTAACCCTGGGATAAAAGGTCATTGTAGATGTGTCCAGGTGACATCTCAGCAGGCTGACACAATCTTGGCCTGTTAGTGTTGTCTGGACACCACCTCCAGATTCAGCACAACAACCTGTCCACACAGAAATATAAAAAGCTCAGCTTGCTACCATAATTGTACAACAACTGATTGTGAAATTTATAATTTTGATTTACCTGTGCCTGATCAACAGACAGATTTTCATCATAATCATATAGGATATCCAGATCTTCCAATGTAACATCATATGTTTCAGAGTCATAATTTATAGAACTCATTGTAGGAGCAGCAATAATGGCATCATAGAGAAAAAATGCCAATAAAATATTTGGAAAGGACTTCATCCTTCAATAGTTTCCTAGAGGAAGAAAGCAGAAGAGCGATAGTTAAAACTGCAAATATTCCAGGAAGAAAGCAAAACAGTTATTATAATTAATCATTGCAACTATTCCATTACATATTGGATTACTACTGTCTTTAGGAAGATTAACTAAAATGCTGATGAGCAATGAGATTTTACAACTCTGTGCATATATAAATTAATCAGTGATGGAAACTGATCTGAAAGCTAAAAGAGTAAAATTTCAAAATAATTTATTCCCCTTTATTTCCATTATATATGTTCTATTTAATTAAATGTGAGTAGTGGGAGGTCCAGATTCACATTTTTCTCTAGCTGTATGTCAGTATAGTTTGTAGAGAGCATTCTGTATTGAAGGAATGGGTTGCAGTATTTATGGAGTGGTAATACCACCTGGATAATGTTCGAATACCTATGTTGGGCATTCACCCCTTCAAGCAATCATATTATTATTAATTCCACAATAAGACCACTGAAGTAATAATAATAATAATAATAATAATAACAACAACAACAACAACAACAACAACAACAACAACAACAACAATAATAATAATTTTATTTGTATACTGTTCTGTCTCCCTAAGGGGACTCAGGGCAGTTTCTAGAATAGGTCAAACATTGCAATTACAGTCATTTATTTATTTATTTATTTATTTATTTATTTAGAACTTTTGTATCTTATTCTTCTCTACCTCTGTGGAGGGATTCAGAACGGCTAACAGCAAAATTCAATGCTATACAATAAATAATGTCATAAAACAACATACAATAAACAAGTTCTAAAATACATATAAAAACAATTCATTACATTAAAAACAATGTCCAACTCAGTCCAAAACGCTGTGGTCAAAAAAGGCTTGGTCTATATCAAATCATCCATCAATCTGCAAATGCCTGACTCCAAAGCCAGGATTTTAGCTGCTTCCTGAATGACAGGAGACAGGGGGCAGACCTAATCTCGCTGGGGAGAGAGTTCCATAGCCAGGGTGCCACTACAGAGAAGGCCCTGTCTCTCATCCCCACCAAATGCACCTGTGAAGATGGTGGGACCGAGAGCAGGGCCTCTCCAGAAGATCTTAAAGTCCTTGATGGTTTAGAGAGGAAGATATGTTTAGACAGGTAAACCGGGCCTGAGCCATATAGGGTTTTGTAGGTTAAAACCAACACTTTGAATTGTGCTCGGAAGCTAATTGGCAGCCAGTGGAGCTGGTGTAACAAGGGGTTTGTGCACTCCCTGTACCCCGCTCCCGTGAGCAACCTGGGGGCCGAGCGTTGGACATTATAAACAAAGATATAATACTATAAACAGTCATACATATTTAAAATTTAAAAAAACAGTTCAGCGCTAATGCCATCAGGCAAGTTCAGTTTACTATGGCCAAGATTCAAGAATGGGCCTCGATAACTATGAGAGGGCTGGGCTAATATAATGAGGTGAACTAGGGCCAGGGGAGTGGATAAAGTGCAAGCATGATCCTGCATGATGGTCAGGGTGGGATCTGGAGCTATTTATTTCCAAGTCCTGAGGCACAGATATGAGAGGGCTGGACCAATGGGAAACATAGGGCTGGGGAAGTGGGTAAAGTGCAGAACAGGACCTTAACTAATGGTCAGGGTAGTGCTTGGGGCTATTCATTTTCAGGGTTTGCTGAATAACTATAAGAGAGCTAGGCCAGGTGAAGAGAAATGAGATAGAAGAGGGCCAGGGAAGTAGATACTAGAGTGCAGAGCGGGGACCTAACTGTTGGCCAGGGTAGGACCTGGAGCATTATCAAAAGCCTGCTGGAACCACCAGGTCATCAAGTCCTTTCGGAAGGAGGCTAGTGATGGAGCTTGTCTTAGCTCTCTGGGGAGGGTGTTCCAAAGGTGGGGGGCCACCACCAAGAAGGTCCACTCCCTCATCCCCACCAACTGCACTTGAGACGGTGGTAGGAGCGAGAGAAGGGCCTCCCCGGAAGATCTAAGAGTCCATGTTTCTTTAGCCATCTTTAGCTCACCTTGGAAGACATGACACTGATAAAAAATGTGCTCTTTACTGGTAACAGTTGCTCCTTCATAACATCTTATGCTCTCATGACAGAGGCCACCACCACATTCATCTCAGTGGTGGCCCCCCACCTGTGGAACTCACTCCCCGGGGAGATTAGATTGACAACTTCCCTTCTGGCGTTCAGGAAAAAACTGAAGACCTGGGTATGGGACCAAGCCTTTGGACACTCTGGCAACTAAATTAAGGATCTGATGATAGACAAGGACAAATGGAATGGAATGGATATATGGACTCTGAACCTCGAGCATGAGATTGTTTTAATATTGTATTATGTATGGATGTTTTTAATTTAAATGTTGAATTGCTTTTTGTACTTTGTATTGCTTGTCAATTGATCTAGGCATCTAATTGTGCCTCCTCTGTAAGCCGCCCTGAGTCCCCCTCGGGGTGAGAAGGGCGGGGTATAAGTGAAATAAATAAATAAATAAATATCATTTTTCTGCAGAGCATAACTAGATCAAGTGGGAGTATTTAGTGCATACATTCTCAATTAAGCTGGAGGATTTCTGTGGAGGTGTGCTGATTAACTTTATGCAGCACAAAAACTCACTTATCATGGTGACTTAAGTGGCTGTTTCTGTGTGCATGGTGCCCCAATGACAATATGAATCAACTCCATAAAAGAAATTCTTTTGAGCTCATACAGCCTCTATACTTGTCATGTTAGGTTGACATAAATTGCGTCAATAAATTTCTCATTCTTAAGTGGGATTTGTTGGATGTGACTCATGTGTTTTATTTTAATGAGAATTACTCTATATACTCATGTACAAAATTTAATCAGAAATTGACCCTAAAATCTGGGTTGGCTTATCCATGGGTCAATGTATTTTAACTCTTATTTAAAAGAGGAACAAGTGTAGAGTGTGTATTTTGCAATCTACAAGAAGTCTCAATTTCCTCTACTGTCTCCACAATGGCATGACCTCTGGCTTTTTTGAATATCTATGTGAGAAAATAGTGGCAGCTTTCAGGGGTGGCTGGTACCCTAAGGTAGTGCCGGCATTTTCTTCTCTCTGCAGAGTGAGCCTCAACTTATCCATGGGCCAAAATCCATCAATTTGGCCCCAAAACATGTCCTCCATTTACACATAAGATTGACTTATACGGGAGTATATATGACAAGTACAAATGGCTTTTGATTATTAGACTGTGTGCTCTGGAAGAAAGTATTTTATCCTGAAGCTATCCAGTCCAATATTTAAATATTACCATGGGAAATTTCATTTGCAATTATCAATACTTCATTATTTCCATACAACATATATTGAATACGAAAGTATCAGTAAGAGTGTAAATATTAATACATAAATCCACTACCATCAAACCTGAGAACTTCAGAAATGAGTTTTTATTTATTTACACGTTGTGCCTAAAGAACAGCATGCAGTCTATAATATTAGAAATTCATAAGAAACTTTCTCTTTTCAGGTTGCCTGGACTCAAACAAACAGATACTAAGTCTCTTGAAAGAAGGCCTTTGTGAAGCAAGTTTACACATGAAGGCATGAAATTCCAATGGGAATGATGAACTGCACAAGGCATTCATTTTTCTCTTTTTTTCAGTTTTTTAACTAGCTAGTGGAAGACTGTATAGCAATTGAGTCTCTATGCCTTTAACCAAGACTTCATTGTCTTGCACTCTTCTGCAGTGACTTATTTACTACTTATTTATTCTGTGTTTGCCTAAAGAATTTATTGATATGTATGTTATATTATGTCGATAAAGTAGAGTGTATGGGTTTTTTAATAGCTGAGAAACTTTTTAAAAACAACAGCAAAATTATTGTTTTCATTATATTTTCTTTTTTAAACTTATCATTGAAAATATATGTTTAATCTAACATGTTTATATTGTAACGGTATTATTATTTGTTCCATCTATATAGTGAGGAATTTTTCATCTGCAAATTTCTTTATCCCAATTCTTAGAAAAACTCCCTGAAATAAATGTCTGGTGATCAAAATGGGAAAAAACTGAAACTTATAATTAAACCCTAGATCAAATCATTTGAGAGAAATCTGAACTCACATCCCTTCCAAGTCCAAATCCATCACATATGATAAAATACATGTTGGTTACATGTTTTTTTGTCAATACACTGATAAACAGAAACTATTCTGAAAGTTACTTGATATTATGATAGTATACCTGGATTGCAAAGACTTCATATCGTGAGGCATGTTTGTTTAAATATTATTATATACCCCATTCCATGCACACACAAAAATAAACAGAAACATAGTTATATACACTTGTGAACCATACTAGTCTGCCCAACCTGACCAAAATCTTTTTTTTAATGGCTATAGCTTTTTTATAAGCAAAATATTGGAACATACTGTAATTACACTGGCATCTTTAAGAGTTTTCAAATATTATGATGTAGGTTATGTACTTTTCATAGAAAAATCCTAAAACTAAGTAAAAAGCAAATACAAAAAAAGTTAATAAGCATCATTACAATTCTTGTTAAAATAGGAAATATGCATACCTTTACACATAAGATTTTTTTTAAAAAATCTAGTTTACTAATGAACAAAAAAGGAGCAGAAAACGTACCTTTGGCTCTTGCTTTCTTAAATGGCACAGAGTTACTCTGAATACACAGTCTGTGGTTTTTAGCCTCACCAATGGCAGTGGGGTGCCGGGTTTGTGGGAGGGTGATGCAGGAAACCTTCATCCTGAGAAATTTCTTGATGCTCAAACACTTTCATATCAAAAAGTCAGAAAAGAGCTCTACCTGGATATGGTTCATTTTTCTGGAAGAGCAAGCATTGGAAAGTTCAATATTACATCAGTAAATGCATTATCATTGTGCCAAGGAATATGTACAGATTTTTAAATATTTGATTCTGTGTCTTGTAAATGAACAGTACAAAGGGGAAGAAATGGATTGCTATTTTAGTATTTAAATATCATTGTTATTTTATCACTGTATCATACCACTAGTAGTTTTAGTGGCAAAATGATTTTTCATATTGATTTCATCCATCTTCTCCAAAAACTGGAGATATATATTATTATTAAGAATAAAAAAAAACTATAGATGAGCTAAAGTGACTTGCTTTAAATCACTTGACCCAGTTATCTTCAATTGAAAACACAGAGTTGAATTACTTCTAATGACCAGAAATATATTCCTCTCCACTAATTATTACAATTAATGCTTCTGGATGCATTCCATTCCTCATGATTTATGGTAGGGTACTTTTAATAGCACTTTTAAAATGGGGATCCATTTTGAATTTTATTTTAAACAATAAATGAGCTATCTATGGATCCTAAACCATATCACCTGAACATGTTGGATAGTGACCTTACAATCCCAGACTAAAACCCAGAGTGACTTCACTGAGCCCTCTTTCCAAGCTTCACAGCAACTCCTAGGATGTTTTTTTATTTCTCTTTGCCAAAGGAATTGTCTAGGTTTCTTGACACAAATCAACAATTCACTGATTAAATAATTTTCTTCCTTGGCCTCAGAGGGATCTGTTACTCCATATATATGTTGTTGTTGTTGTTGTTTGTTGTTGTTGTTTTTATGTTTATTTCATGCTTTTTCTCTCTAGACTTGAAGTGGCTAACATTAAAGCATGACTGAAAAAACACAATTTAAGAAAAGAATAAGGATGCAGGTACAAAGTAATTTTATATAATTATATAAAATATTGGCTATTATATACTGAGCACAAAAACCAATGAAATAAATCTAGAAAACAACCCAGTTGGAACTAGTTGTAGTTTACTAAGCAGTCCCAAGACCAGAATTCAGTTGGTTACATGTATATAAACTGGGATTGTCTATGTGTCCATTTTTTGATATTGCGAAGTTTATGTTCAGTACTCCCCAGTGTAATATCTATTCAATCCTTCAAAGCAGCTTCCAAACACTCGCAATGGCAACACATTGCCCAAATTGTTAAGTAAAGGCTGCAGAATTTTTTCCATCCTTATTTCCATGCCCTGCATTTATTATACTACCAAGCAATATTTTCTAAGTGTTTGTACAGGTCAGCAGTTGACTAGGGGCCTTTCCACACAGTTCTATATCTCAGAATATCAAGGCAGGAAATCCCACATTATCTGAGTGTGGACTCAGATAACCCAGTTCAAAGCAGATATTGTGGGATTTTCTGCCTTGATATTCTGGAATATAGGGCTGTGTGGGAGGTTCCATAGCTCCACAGTACTATAGCCACTTCCTGAGTTCATCAACATACTACAAACCTCACAATTCCATAGGCCAATGTCATGGCAGTAAAGCAGAATCATAGTGCTATAATTGGGAAATGTAAAAGGGCCATAGGTTACCATGTTGTTTCCCTAATATGGACACACACATTATGGGTTTCTTCTTGCCATTCTTTCATATAGCCTTATAACCTGATATGGGCATATCTATACAATCCTCTTGTCAACATGTCCATTTGTATGCTTAAAAAATGCCAGTGTCTTTGACTTGCTGATCTAGAACAGTAAAGATTTGATGGAAAAAACTTCTGCTGGTCAAATATTATAGTGAGCACCTTTTCTGTACTCCATTATGTACAGGGTGCAGCAGCATAACTTCCTTTTTTCAAAACTTAATAAAACCCATTGTATGAATCAGAAAAAAAATTATAATGTAGGCGCATACCTAAAGTTTTGTTTTCCGTAGTTTTGAAGATCAAATTAGGTAGGTGATGTCCCCCATTCTCCATTCACTGAGTAAACCAATTTCTGGTGTTTGTCATGACTCTTGCCAGCATAGCAGGCATTATGTTGGCAATTTCTTCCTGGATCTTGGTCTTCAAATCTTGTAGGGTCCTTGGACAGTTCACATAAACACGGGATTTCAAAAAACCCCATAGAAAAAAAATTACAAGGGGCCAAATCTGGAGAGTGGGCCGGCCACTCCAAATCCCCGCTAATTGAGATGAGGCGCTTTGGGAAGTGTTCCTTCAAAACAGCCATTGATGCTCTTGAAGTGTGTTCAGTTGCACTGTCTTGTTGGAACCAAATGTCCCCTAAGTCCATCTAGCAATGGGAATTGTCCCATCTAGCCATGGGAAAAAAATTCCTGTAACATGTTTACATACCGGTCCGAATTCACTGTCACTGCGACTTCATTTTCCTCAAAGAACCAGGGACCAATAATTCCAGCTGAAGAAATTGCACACCACACTGTGATTTTAGGTGAACACAAAGGCCACAAAGAACACAAAGATGTAATTCTTGAGGATTGTTGTCAGCCCAGTAGCACATGTTTTGTTTGTTGACAGATCCACACAAATGAAAATGGGCTTCATCACTAAAAAAATAAATAGCATCCTCAGGAACGACTTCGAGAAGAACTTCACACGCGTTCCTCTGAGAATTGAAGTCACGTTCAGAAAGTTCCTGCACAATCACCATCTTGTAAGGATGGAAATGAAGATCATCATGAAGAATTCTCCTCACAGAACGATTGGAAAGTCCAAGGGCAGACGCATATTTGCGCGCAGAACGCTGTGGTGATCGCAACATTGAAGCTCTCACTGCCTCAATGTTCTCAGGTGATCTAATGGGCCGAGGGACTCCAGTTCTTCATCTTGTCGCACTTGCAGTTTGTCTGAATGTAGTGACCCACATCACAATTAATTTCCGGTCCCAGACAGGGGCCAATGGGGCTAAATTAAAGCGATTCTGAAAGGCGCGCTGGGTTGCGATCACAGAACATCCGCTCGAATGTAGGCCTCAATGGCAAAAGCACACTCCTCACTGTTCCAAAGCATGATGGCAACTGAACTGTGTTAGGACAAAACTTTATACTCTCGCCTCTCGAACAAGACCACTAGCGCTCCACTACGTCTTCAACCGACTGAATGGCATGCATTTTAAAAAAGGAAGTTATTCTGCTTCACCCTGTACCTTCAACACATTTACTTAAGTTAAACAATTGAGATAAGGTTTTCTCTCTCCTGTTATCTGGCTCTGTGCTTAATAAACAATGAATGACATCATAAAATGGCATTGATAGGAAATATTATCTTTGGGGCAAAGATGATTGACTTAATGCTCCTGAAATGTCTTTCTTAAGTGATGTTTGTTTTGAGACATTACTATCTTTGGATAAATCAATTACTGAGTAACATATCTGAAGTAGTCCACTTTAACACTGTTTGAAAATATTGCTTTATTTTAGAGGGCTTACTTATGTCATGCTTCCAGAATCCAAGATCTATGCCAGAGAATCACATGAACTTATTGTTTTTCTTTTGGACTTCATCACACAAAGGACCCCCCCCCCCCCCAAAAAAAAAAAGGTGCTGTTTCATCAGTCTCCATGGTGAAACGACGTGGATGCAGGGAGACTCTGTCAGCCCACACACCTCTTCATCGTAGCGATGTTTCCCCCATCACATGGGGAAAGCACCCCTAGGGGACTCAAGGTGGCTCACAAGGGACAAGCCCAAAAATTACTAGGCTATGTTAATTAGGCTATGTAAACATTTTAGGATTTTTTTTACATATGTGCCCAGACACACTATATATCAAATACATGTCCAACAAAAATGCTTGTTGTCTAGAATAGTTTCATTTTAAACATCTATCACAACACTGAGAAAACAGAACGTTTTAATTTAAGATTGTTATGCAATTCAGTAATTGAAAATATTAGCTGGCTTCCTTTTGTGGACTAAGAGTGTATTTTTATTTTGTGCTGTTATCTAAGCATCAGAGGTTTTGAGATATGAATTTCAATCTAATTTAAAACAACCATTTTCACTCAACTTTTCTTATTCCCAGATCTGCCATATGGGAAACATTTATCATCCAGTTCTATTTGCCAGTATTTAGTATATCGAGTGCTTATTGTTACCTGTGTTCTGACCTCATAAGCCTCTTTATTTAAAAGTATACTAAGAATAATTAGCAGGGAGGAGTGAAAGTGCAGATTAAAGTTACAAACTCCCTGTTGAGAACCTGGTTCCCATAAAATTACATTTAATGGAAAATTATGTCATTTTGACAGTCAGGATTCTGTCGTTTATGCCTACAGAAGTGAATGTTATTTTGAAATGCATATGAATAAGGAGTATTCAAAATTCTGTTCCAAGACCTATCGTCTCATAAAAGACTACAAGAACTGTAATATGATGCACACAAAGTTTTCCATCTCCTCATCCAGCAAATGATGATGGTTGGAAGGGGGAAGAAACACATAATCACTGTCATCTGTTCTATGCATGAGTCTTTTCCATGCTGAATCCGGCTGCGGCCTTCTTTTGCACATTGGAAATTATGCAAAACAGGGCACCTCATTTTCCAGAGCTTAGAAAGCCTTTTAAAAGTAAAAAACAAAAACAAAACCCTACAACACCCAGAATCCCCCAGCTAATGTGGCTAGTTCAAATTAACTTTTTCGACACTGGTAAAAATTATTTTGGATTTCCATCTCTCATGTATCTCTAAATCTTATATACTTATATCTATCTTCTGGATCTTGTTGTTATTTAAAAATAACAACAGGATTTTGCCTTGGTGCCATCAACCTGCAATTGTACAGATGGAGAGAGGTTTGTTGCGAAGAACTACTGGCTACTTCTTTCCAAAATGTCCCCCAAAAGTCCATATACTGATTTAAAACACAACCACAATAGTATATACCTCATATACAATGATATGGTGGTGGTGGTGAGAACCAGTGAAAATGGGGAAAATGGTTTCCTCCTTCAACTCCCCCTTAATATGAAGTATACTTTCTCTAGCGTCCCCTAGTGGCCACCCTGAAAATGGAACAGTACCAAAATGTAAATT